TCTTGTTAAAGGAAAGTTTTCACGGTAGCAGCAGTATTTAAATAATAATGGTAAGTTTCATAAAGTTTACATCTAATGATTACAATTTCATGAGAGAAAATTTTTATGCAGCAAGATTTAATAGTTCAAATCGTAGAGTTAAACTCGCACTGATTTGGCGATCAATATCTCCTTGAAGAAGATTTACGCCATATAAAGATCAGGGTGCAATCCTAAGACAAGTTATCGAGCTTTTATAGCAATAGCATCAAGATAGGAAAAGCAGCCATGTCAGAGGTCAACTAAGTTAGTCTGAGATTACATATTCAGTATTTCGAAAATTCTTCGAGTTTGCATGGTTTGAAGTCAAAATTAGAAAAATTGTTTAGATCCACAAAATCTTTGACCTATCCTAAATGTTAGATTCAGTGAAAAAAAATACTTCTAACATTCTGCTTTTTCAAATATATTTTATAAATTTTCATATTAACGAAAAACAAAACTTATCTGGAATCTAACAAATATTTAGATAAATATAAACGACTCATTCATATAAATTATAAAAAAATTGAATCAAATGAAGTTTCGAGAGTACTCGGTTTCTTACAAAATTTTAAACCAGAAATAAATATTATTATAGGTATTTAATGTTCATTTGACTCTTGGCATCCATTTTTCTAAGCTTTCTTATACCAATAAATAGCATTGTCTATATCTTTGTTTGTTCCGACGCCTTGTTCTTATAATATGCAAGACTTTTTTGTGAACTACAACTACCTTCATTAGCTGCTAAATTATACAATTCAAAAGCCTTTTCTTTATCAACATCAATTCCAAAGCCATTATCATAATAATATCCAACTTTATATTGAGCTTCGAAGTATCCTTTATTAGCTGATTTCTTATAAAATTCAAATGCTCTAACTAAATTCTCACCAACACCTTTTCCTAATTCGTAAAATTCGCCTAATTTATATAAGGCAACTTTATTGTCGTTTTCCGCAGCCTTATGATACCAATAATTAACTTTTTCTAAGTCATTCACTATTTTATCATAATCATCATTTAACAATTCCAAATTACAGTCTTTTTTTCTAGCAACTTCATTATATAACCTGAGCCCTAATTCTTTATTAATTTCAGTTCCAATTCCATTTATATAACAATATCCGAGGTTAAATTTTGCATCCTCAAATCCATTTTCAACTGATTTTTTATAAAACTCAAAAGCTTTAAACTCGTCTTTTTCAACGCCGTTTCCAAATTCATAATGTTCACCTAAATTAAGCAATCCAATTTTATTCCCATTATTTGCAGCTTTTTGACACCAATAAAAACTCATTTCCAAATCTCTTTTTAATCCTCCACCTTTATATAGTACTGAGAGCATATTTTGCGCACATATATTGTCATTTTCTGCTGCATTTTGATACCAATAAATAGCCTTTTCTAAATTCTTTTCTATCCCTTCTCCAAATTGATAACATAAAGCTACATTATACATTGCAACAATATAATTATTTTCTGCTGCTTTGTGATACCAATAAAAGGACATTTCTAAGTTCTTTTCTATAACATCTCCACATTTATAATATGTAGCTAAATGATACATTGCTAATTCATTACCATTTTCAGCAGCTTTTTGATACCAGTAAATAGCCTTTTCTAAATTTTTGTCTGTTCCTTTCCCATCTCGATAACATTTAGCTAAATTATACATTGCAAATCATTTTCAGCCGCTTTCTGATACCAATAAATGGAAATCTCTAAATTTTTTTCTACTTTTTTACCTTTTTTATATAATGTTGCGAGATTATTCTGTCCTCTAATATATCCATTTTCTGCTGCTTTATGATACCAATATAATGTTTCTTTTAAATTAATTTCATTAACTTCACCTTTTTCATATAAATTTATAAGTTTGTTTTGTGCTACAGTGTAACCATTTTCAGCTGCTTTATGATACCAATGAAATGCTTTTTCTAAATTCTTTTCGATTCCTTCACCATTTTGATAACATAAAGCTAAATTGTACATTGCAATTATATTATCATTTTCAGCAGCTTTTTGATACCAATAAAATGCTTTTTCTAAATTCTTTTCAGTTCCTTTTCCATTATAATAACATGAGGCTAAATTATTTATTGCATATATATTATTATTTTCAACTGCTTTAACAAACCAATAGAATGCTTTTTCTAAATTCTTTTCAGTTACAACTCCATTATAAAAATATAAAGCTAAATTACTCATTGCATAAATATTATTATTTTCAGCTGCTTTTAGATACCAGTAAAATGCTTTTTCTAAATTTTTTTCAATTCCTTCTCCATTTTGATAACATAAAGCCAAATTATACATTGTATTTATATTATTATTTTCTGCTGCTTTTTGATACCAATAAAATGCTTTTTTTAAATTCTTTTCAACTCCTTCTCTATATTGATAACATAAAGCTAAATTTTTCATTGCAATTATATTATCATTATTTGCAGCTTTATGATACCAATAAAATGCTTTTTCTAAATTCTTTTTTGTACCATTTTCATATTGATAACATAAAGCCAAATCATACATTGCAACTATAATATTATTTTCTGCTGCTTTTTGATACCAATAAAAGGCTTTTGTTAAATTCTTTTCAACTCCTCCTCCATATTGATAACATAAAGCCAAATCATACATTGCAATTATAATATTATTTTCTGCTGCTTTTTGATGCTAATAAAATGCTTTTTCTAAATTATTTTCAGTTCCTTCTCCATTATAATAACATAGAGCTAAATTATTCATTGCAATTATATTATTATTTTCTGCAGCTTTTTGATACCAATAAAATGCTTTTTTTAAATCCTTTTCTATTCCTTCTCCATTATAATAACATAGAGCTAAATTATTCATTGCAATTATATTATCATTTTTAGCTGCTTTTTGATACCAATAAAATGCTTTTTTTAAATTTTTTACAGTACCTTCACCATTACAATAACATAGAGCTAAGTCATTCATTGCAACTATATTATCATTTTCTGCTGCTTTTTGGTACCAATAAAATGCATTTATTAAATTTTTTTCAGTTCTTTCTCTAATATAATAACAAAGAGCTAAATTATACATTGCAACTACATTGTTATTTTCTGCAGCTTTTTGATACCAATAAAATGCTTTTTCTAAATTCTTTTCTATTCCTTCTCCATTATAATAACATAAAGCTAAATTATTCATTGCAACTATATTATCATTTTCTGCAGCTTTTTGATACCAATAAAATGCTTTTTCTAAATTTTTTTCAGTTCCTAAACTATGATAAAATAATATTGCAAGAAAAGCTTGTACTTTTTCATGTCCTTTTTCAGCTAATTTTCACATATTTTAAATGCTTCTTTTTTATCTATGTCTGTTCCAATTCCAAAAAAATAACAAATTCCAAGTTTATATATTCCATTTATAAATTCTTTTTCATGAAATCTTTTATATATTTCAAATGCTTTACTTTCACTTTTCTCTATACCTATTCCTAATTCATTACATCTACCTATATTTAATAAACCACATAGATTTCCATTATTAGCTGATTTTTGATACCAAATAAAAGTTTTATATAAATTTTCATCTGTTCCGATGCTATTTTCATAATAAAAACCAAGATTTAGTTGTCCACAAATGCTTTCATTTTCTACGGCTTTTTGCATCCATTTAAATGCAAGTTCTTCATTTATCTCGATTCCTAATCCTTCTTTATAACAATTTGCAAGATAAACTTGTGCAATAGGATAATTATCTTCAGAAGCATTTAAAAATAATTTAAATGCTTCAATATAATTTTTTTCAAAATTTGTACTGCTAAAATACAAAAATCCCAAGAAAAATTGATAATTTGATTTCACTTGATTTTCGTGAAGCCATTCAAAAAGCTCATTTGAAGTTCTATTTGAAAGAGATATACAATGATTAATAAAATGCTTAGTTTCATCGAAATTATTTCCTTCATCTTGCGTTTCAATTAAAAGCTTAATTAGCTTATTAATAAGAATATTTGTACTATCTTCTATATCATAAATTTCCAAAAATAACTTTTCTGCCTGATATAATATATGCTGTGAGTTGCATTCATTATATATTGATTCTAAATTGCAATCCTGCATTAACTCACTTAGAAATAACTCAGAATTATTACTTTGCATACATCTTACGTCTCTTGATTCAGCTTTATGTTCTGTAAGAATAATGGAATCAACTTCATCATTATTTTTTTCGAACATTATTGATTGAAGTGTCTTAAAAACTTGTTTCATAGTAGGACGTTCGTTTGGATCATTTTTCCAACATGCTTATGAAAATTAATAAATTAAATTAGTTTAGTTTTTTAATTTGAAAAAAATAGATTCTGCGAAAATAGCATTTACCTTGATATATATTGCTATATTCGATAGGAGTATTCTTGACAATTATTTCTCGTCGTCCTTTTTTAATATTCATAACTAAATTTACATCATATTCTTCACAATGAAAAGGTCTATGCCCACTTGAAATTTGCCAAAGAAGAACTCCAACACTGTAAACATCAGACTTTGGATTTAATATATAATGTTGATTTTTATTTTTATTATTAACATTATTCAAATATTTCGGATCAACATAAGGAACGACACCATGTACATCTGTTGAATAACTTGAAGCATCAATCACTGTTCGTGATAAACCGAAGTCAGCTAACTTAATGTTGTTTTGATGCACAAGCACATTTTGTGCATGCTATGTAAAAAATTTTATTAATTATTTTTTTAGTTCCATGAAAAATCCAAACAAAATTATCTAATAGATTGTTACATTACCAATCACAATGAATAATTCCTTCGTTATGCATACATGCTACAGCAGATGAAAGTTGAAAGGCCAATTGATATTTATCACTCCATTCTAGCTTGTCAAAATTTTCTTTTAAATAAGATTCAATGATCCCCCATTAGCGTATTCCATAACCAACATAAACTTGTTTTTTTGATCGATGGGATTCGTTTCTAGTCGGGATATTCCATAAACTGAATAATATTTGCATGATAATCAACTTCACGTTGCATTTTTATCTAAAATATTTAAAATAATTAGATATAGTAATAAATATATATATTTTGTTGTTGTTTTGAAACATTTATAATAAATTACCTCATTAACAATTTCTTGGATGGTTAAGTTTAGTGAATATTTTATGGCCATTATAGTACCGGAATCTCCCCAGCTTGCACGAGAAACGTTTCCATAGGAACAGCTGCTGATTTCTTCTTTATTAACGAACTCATCGTAATTATAATATTTAATATAGTTTTCTGATATTGCCTTTTCTAACCAACCAAGGTAAACGTTGGATTCATCTGTTTGTATTTTGGCTGTCATGTTTTAGAATAGAGGCTATAGTTAAAAGGATAATAATTCTAATGTTCGGTTTAAAAAGAAATAAAATTAATTAAAAAGTAATTATCACATAACAACATTGAGTGACAAACAATATGCGTTTGATTACCGATGGTCGTACTGAGAAGTTTCAGTAAAAAATGAGTTCACGTAACACAAATACTAAAAAAAAAAATTATAAAATTGTCCAATTAGAAATTAAGATACGCTACGCTATAACCTCAATTTTAAATAATAATGTTTATTTCTAAATACAAATACCTTAATATATTGTTGCGCTTATTTCTCTAAGTTATAAACAAGGGAAAAATAAGCAGAAAGCTTTGATGTAAAAAATTTATATAATAAATAAAATCAATTTACCTCAACGTCGGCGATCTACACATCCGAAAATTTCGTTAATTATATATATTTTTTTTAAAAATACATTCTAATTCTAACAATAGCTTTTAAATTTATGGCTTAAAATTATACTTCAAATAGAATTCACTAAATTTTCTTTATTGTCTTAGATTTTCCATCCTTATTTGCTTATTTATTATAGTTATTTTTCTTTGGTTTATTGGATTTATATACAGTATATAGTTGCGGGGCAAAACCCTAAACCCATTTTGGCAAAAGTCGAAACTTTCAGAAATTATTTCGACAGTTTCGACAGTTTTGATGAGTTTCGACGGGTTTCGAAAGTTTCGACAGTTTCGATAACAACTTTGCGAATTTGACGGTTTTAATAGATTTATTGTATCACAATGTAGAATAAACGTTTTTTTTTGCTTTTTATTTTAAATTAGATTAAAGTTTCCAAAATAATGCATTATTTATCGAGTTGTTTTAAATTGGAAGCACAGATACTTTGTTGAAGAATTAGAAAAAATTACCTTATGATGAATATGATGATAGAGGTTGGAACCGGGTTTATTTTTATATCCGGATTTATTTAATTTTAAAAATCCGGATTTAAATCCGAATATCGAACCTCTATTTCAAGGCTGTGCAGATCAAATAAAGTTTTTTAAAGCTTAATAAATTATACACCCTGAAAGTTTAATGGATGAAGTAGAAGAAAATAAGAATATTGTCATGAGTTTAAATGAAGAAATATGGGAAATAAATGATATGTAAATTTTTTGATTTTTTTTTTTTTATCTATAAATATAATATGATAAAAGAAAAGTGATCTTTGCTATATACGATTTGCTCATCTCGTTATACGAAAATAATAAATTTTTAAATTCAAAAATTTGTATTTTAGTATCAGAAGGTTTCGATGGGTTTTGCCATCCGTTGAAACTTTTGCCACCCGTCGAAACTTTCGCAATTTTGCCTTTAATAAAAATATTTGACAAAACGTTTCGACGGGCTTCGATTTCGATGCCTGTCGAAACCTCCGGGTTTTGCCCGGCAACCTTATGTATAGTATTTGTTTTATTTTATAGTTTACATATATATATAATCAAAACATTATATATTATTATAAACAATTTTGATTATTTAAAATTATTGATTTAATAATTATATACTATGGAACGGTTCCGGAAGCCCATTGTGAAGTCCGGAGCACAAGTGTAACGAAAGGGACCAACCACGTATGGACTCAATTTTGAGCGGGAATTTCATCATAGCGCGTAGACTATAATAGTCCTTCGCTACGTTCCGAACTAATAAACCAAACTGCTAAAATATTGTGTATAACTTTTCTTCAAATTAATTTAATATATTATTAAATCTAAACTATTGCCTAAATTTAATAAAAAAAAGTATTAGAAAATAACAAAATCTTTTTTATTAATTTTCTTAAATCAAAAAGCAATAGATGATGAAATTACAAAGTAAATAGAATATAATTACCAATAATGTTCATTTTTAAAAATATAAATATTAAATTTATTAATTATTTATATAATTATAAATATATTTCTTAAATTATTTTATTATTTATTTTAATACGTTACATTAAATTATTATATATAAAATAATTAAATAAATAGATTAGTAAATATATGAAACCTTTGCTATTAAATCACATTTTGCAATCTGTAAATAAATTTTAAAATTTTTTATTCCATAATAAACATTTTAACAATAAAATTGGTACTATTTTTTTAATTTTGAGTCAGTTTAATTAAAAAAAAATAATTTATAATTTATTTATTCAAAATTTATTATTAAATAATTTTTAATAATGCCTATTACTTAAAATCATTTGAGATTTTGCTATTAAATTCACTTTTTATTACATGTTATATCAATTTTGTAACATTTGAGATTTTGTTATTAAATTCTTGTATTAAATAATCATTATATAAATTTTTAACATAAAAATTTTTTTATAAAAGAAAAAAAAAATATAATGATTAAAAGGTAAATAAATAGTATTCGAAATTAACTATCAATTATCTCATTTCTTCCATCTTTAATAATGATGATAATTTCTTCCCGTGCGCATCATGAGTTAAATTCTTATATAAGTAGGTTTCTTTCAAAATTGTTTATATGTTTAGCCTGGTCGACTTAATTTCGGCATTTATGCATAATTACCGTACATTTGCTTCGTAATGAACTTTTCAGCAATAGGTCACATGCTTGAATGCGGTCATAATTATCTTATTAATACTAATGCGCAATCACGATTCATGATCTCAAATCTCTTCGGTATATTATCAATATTTAGCTCAAATTTAGAAAAAATTTCTGCTGTATTTACAATAATCCTGATCAATTATTGATAGTTATTAAATCATTTTCTGAAAAATGAGATTCACACCTTGAATTTAGAAAGCAATTGTTGGATATGCTTAATTTTAATAATAAACCGAATATTAGTAAATAATACATTAATTATCAGTATGTCGAATAATGCAATTTATCCAAATGAACATAAATTATTAACAGCGCATTTTTTTTTACATTCTAACACACTTTTTGAATTTTTGAATTTTTGAATGTGCTTTTTTTAGTAGCGAAAAAAATTTTTTTTCCTGGGATTTACCGATAATTACAGACAAAATTCAGTACGAACTATTAATTTATTTTTATATAAATAAATAATGTTATTATGAATGATCAACATCCACAAAAACCTTAAATATTTTGATAAGTATTGTTCTTCTATAACCCAATTAGTGATGTCCGAAATATATGCATTCATTTCGGAATTTACGCATTTGGGTTGATTCATATCGGCAGGAATGTTTTGACAAACTTCTTCCGCAATTTTTTAAACTATTTTTGGAACAAGGAAATCATTTTTATTAACAATCGATAAAATTATAAGTATTGTTCTTCTATAACCCAATTAGTTGATGCCGACAGGAACCGCATTTTTTCAATAAGAAATTAGCTATTTTTTGGAACAATAAAATTATTATTTATTTTTTTTATTAACAATCGATAAAGTTAAACGTATTGCCTTATTAGTTGATGTCCGAAATATGTGCATTCACTTCGGACATTTACACATTTAAGCTGATTCAAATGATCGGCAGGAATGCTTTGAAAAACTACTTTAAATAAACCCACCATTTTTTTTTTCTTTTTTTTTCCTCACTGAAAAAAAAAAAAACAAACTTCTCTCTTACATTTAATTCTTTTATTACCTTGTTAAAAATTTCCTTAAATTAAATTTTATTAAATAAATATATATCATATAACAATCAAATTTAAGACCATCTTAATCATCCCAACTTTTTAACAAAAATGGCTTATGTATTGACTAGCGAATTCTTAAATGAAGAAGATTTAATGTCGCTGTTAGCAAATCGTCTTCCAAATGAATCCAAAGCTACGTTAATTAAGGTGGCGTGATTCTCTTCCTGGCAAAATATTAGACGTAAAAGAATTCTCGGCAAAATCGTTGTCGAGAATTTAAAGATCCTCGGAGTTGAACGGCAAAGGCTTGGTCTTTGGAAACCTATTGGTAGATCGAAATTTCGTTTTTCAAGTATATGATACTATTACCATGGAAATTTAGTTTCAACAATTAGAAAGCATTTATCTTTTTTGTGGCCATCAATTATTAGAATAATTAGAGATCTTACACCTAAATAGTGTTGAATCAAAAATAGGGATTTGGGAATAAAGAATCTAACGCATCAAAATATTACGAATCATAAGATAATTCTTTCATACTGTAAAAACATTTTAATTCTTTATTTTTGTAATCAATAAATTTTTTAATGTAAATAAAATACCTATAATTATAAAACGTTATTTGCTCTTTTTTATTTATTTTATTTTTTTACTTTACGTTTGTAAGTTTTGTGTTGACTTTGCTTATTACAAATATTTTAAGTTATTTTCAATAATATTATCAATAAATTTCATAAATTGGATAAATTAATACGTCCAAGCTTGCTTTCAATTATATTAAAAAATGTAACAAATTTGAAATTTATTTATTATGCACGCATGCTGATTTATTGAGTTAAAATAAAATTTCATCATTGCTTTTTAATGGTTAGTACAAATGATTGTTTACTAAAAAAAAAAGTGGATGATCACCCGAAAGATTTCTCGAGTCAAACTTCTTTTGATTGAAAAATGATCGGTTCCAATTCAGAATTTGATATAACTAGGCTGATTTTATTAACGAGTCATACCGTTAAGGTATTGGCGTTATTAATTAATTAATTTTTTTTTTTACATTCGTTTCACATATAAAAAACGTCTAAACGTACGTACCATCTATCGATTATTATGAATGTGCAAATCATTTGAACGAACAAATATTATTATTTGATTGATCAAATAATAAAAAGTGAAAGTTTAAAAGAATCATATTTATGAAAAAGATATAGGCAGCCAAATACCGGTAATAATTGGTGTCAGTCATGCATTGCTAACCGCCGGTTTCAACAAAATTTCAAAAATTGGACTAGCGGAAATCATGAGATTGATGAATTCATTCAATCAGAGCAACTTTAAAGCAAAAACAATTCAAGAGTGGATTGAATATGAAGAATCGAATATTGGCTAAAGGAGGATAACGCACTGGAATGAAACGTATAACTAATGGAGTAGAACTAGTAATATCCCAGTTTTCTTAAAACGTTTAATATTCACACAAATATTCCGGTCGTATTTTTTAAAGAAGTAAGATATATTCTTTTCATAAACATTTTACAGAAATCCTTTATATGCTTTTTTATCTAGATCGAATCACATGTTTTGTTGAATAATTCATAAGAAAAAATATATTTTTTTAAAAAAATAAACCACGGATATTTAAATTTAAATAAAAAATTGCGAATATTAAAAGTTAAATTAAATATTAAAAAAATCACGGGTGGTAGAATTATAAAAATAAACCAATTAAAAAATATCAAATTTAAAAATTAACATTATTAATAAAAAGTTTTCAAAAAAAATTTAAATTAAAATCGAGGTATAAAAAATTAAATTAAAAAATATTTAATAAAAAAAATTTAAAAAAAACTTCGCAGTTTAGAACGATTTAAATCTAACTCAGGCCCGTTCTTAAGATTTATTTAACTTTTTCTTAATACGATTCTTTGTATAGTCGGTTATTTGTCAAGTCTATATGGAGACACGATAAAGGTTGAAAGTGTGAAGGTGGAATTTATTATTTCAAAATTTCTGACGTCTTTTCTCAAGACTCGTTATCTTACTTCTTTGATCAAAAGCGGACTTTCGGTTTTTATATACAAACGTTCTAAATACTAATTTTTCTTTTTAACTAATATAATCTATTATAATTTTTAACATTCATAATTGATATAATAAACATAAATGTTATTTTTCACATTTTCATTTTTTTTTTCGCAGTTACAGGAAATAAAAAAAAAATTAGAAATTAACAAAAAAATAGAATAAAAAATACAAAATTAAGAAAACAGAAAATAAATAAATAAATTGCTTGTTTTTTTTGAAAAAAACAAAAAAAAATTAATAAATAAATAATAATTTCTATAAACTACATCAATTACGAGAATTAGGATTAGGATTAGAGATAGAATCAGATTAACGTTAAGATCAGGGTTAGGGTTAGGGTTAGGATTGGATCATTTATAAATTTTTTTTGTTATAGATATGCTAAAACCTTAAAAAATTAAGTTTTCAACATCTATTTCACGTCGTATTGGCGAAACCCCGGGCATCGCCTGGGTAAACCGCTAGTTTAACGATAATAATTCATCGCAATATTATGTTTTAATATACTAATAGTTAGATATAATTTTGGCTCAAGTTTGAAGTTGTGCTGACATTTTGCAAAATCTTGTTCGGAGGAAAGAAATTATCTGACAGCAGAATTTTTTTCTTTTTTTTATTTAGTCAATTTCAAAGTGGGATATCAGTAATTCAACTATACAAGATAAAAACAAACGTAATATCGGTAATGATTCAACTATTTCGTTTTTATGACTTAATCGCTATTTGTAAAAAAAAAACGGCGAAAAAGGGTGGTAACTAAGAATATAAATTAGAATGACGAAAAGTTATTTAAAGCAAGTTTTATCGTTAAACAACGAAATCAATGTATTGCTTCTAATGGACTATTTTCGATTTGATATCCCATTGACTCATTCTAAATCTCTATGTCCCATTACTAGACCAAATTTCTATGAAAGATGAATGATTAAAAGAAACCTTTCGACGATATATATCCATGATTTAACGTCGGAAGGTGAGAGTTTTAAAGAATTCAACGTCATCTGACGTTAATTTAATGATCCAGAGGTATTTCTTGCAAAAAATTTCCGTATTAATTTTTTAGGCTTGGAAAATTTTTAATTGACCACTTTAAAATAACTGGGTTAAATCGGATAAGATACACGTGATGTAGCTCCGTCACGGAATCCTTGGTTTTCGTGATAGCCGAGGGCGTTCTCAAGCACCTAACTCAATGGATTCGGAAATGAATTTTAATTAGTCGAAGTTGATTTTGAAGATCAAATGAGTACTATTCCGATGAATAAAATCTGGAAGCCCAAACCATCTTTTTTTTCCGTTGATAGGCTAAAATTTATCATTGGTAGAGTATAAAGTGAGATCGTAGGTTGAGTATTTGCCTTTTTTTTTATTATTATTTTGTTCATTTAAACTTAATAATGAGGAGAAGCTGCTCAAGGTATTGATATTTAAATTGATCATGGTGTATGAGCATTTCAATTGCATTGATTGTATCTATCTATTCATGTGATACGAGATTTTAAAAACATTTTATCCAGATATATATTAACAATTCAAGTTTTTTTGATGAAAGATTTTCTGTTACACAGAACTTATGCATTTAAATTGTTTGGAAGGAAACGGAAAAGACGATGATAGGTTTGTATATAATCACGAGGGATAGCTAGTACTAGAATGTTTTTTTTCTCAATTTTGTAATTTTGATAAAGTGACTGTCAGTGCCACGTCGTAAAAAAAAAAAAAAATAATAATTTGAGGCACTTATCGATCACGTGATAAATACTTTTGCGTTTCTTTTCTAATATACAGTAATAAAATAACAAAAATAACAAGCATTTCAGAGGACAATTTTAAATGAAAGAATTAAATTACATATTTCAAAAAATTTCATTGACAACATAAATGTACTTCCCAATCTTTTTTTTTTTAATTTCTATTGTAGAGAGATCTTAATATTTATCAGAACAGATCTAACAGATAAGTAACAATAAAAGAGGCGATTCTCTCTACATTTTAAAATGTAAACGCTCGGGATTGGTTTGGTGTTCTAAAATAAATTAAGTTTCATAAAAAAAGTTTCTTCCTGATAAAATGAACGCGTCGTATAAAAGAAACGACGAATTTATTATAACTGTTGAATTAAACACACAGATAAAATAAAAAATTAACTTAAGAAAAGGTATAACGTTTGTTAATTATTTGTAAATAATTCTCTATACGAAACATAGTATGTTTTTTAATGCATCACGGAAAATTATCACCCCTCTTCGATTCAAGATTTCCAGAAAAACAAATAAATTTGGCATCATTTTTGAGTTTATCTTTTAGATCAATACATCTTTTCGTAATCTTTCAAAAAGTCCCCCGATTATTTGCTTGTTTGTCCTTTGCTCAATTACAAATAGAAATTTCATAAATATTAATTTTCGTTAAGCCGACAAATTAACACAGCATTCGTTACGCTCACACGCTCTGTTATTATCAGCAAAAAAAAACCCCACAAAGAAAAAGCCTGCTAGTTCAGTAAAAGTATATAAATAACCCTTGAAAGCATCTTTCGTTTCATACATACATCAAATTGTCATGTATTTTTCAAATAATTCAAGTTTATTCATTGTGATCTCTGCACTTTATGTGATTTTTTCACAATTCATAATCACTTCTTATTCGGCTCCATTTTCTTCTCATCTTCAAAAACGTGCCTTTTCAGGTAGTGCTACATATTACGAACCAGGTTTAGGTGCATGCGGTGTATTTTCATCAAGGCTTGACCTGATAATAGCGGTTAACGCTGCTCAATTTGGTAACACGCCAAATCCTAACCAAAATCCAATATGTGGTAAAAGAGTTATTATAAACGGTCCAAAAGGAACCATTACTTGTCGAGTTGTAGATAGATGTCCTGGATGTTCTTTTGGTGATTTGGACTTGTCTCCAACCGCTTTCGAAAAAATTGCCAACCTAGATCAGGGTAGAGTTCAGATCACTTGGGATTTTATTAATTGATTGTGAGGTAAATGATAATGATGATGATTAAGATAAAGGTTGACAAAGTATTCAATTAAATTCTTTCAATTCCAGGTACCAATAAAAAGCATGCAATATAAATGGTTTATAAATATAATTTTTCTGGTACACCTTTTGTTCATTTATTGTTTCGATACTTTATACTGTAAGATTGTATTGTATTTCTTTTATTGGATGAAAAAAATATGTATTTCTTTTTTTTTTTTTTTTACTTTCAATAAATATATAATGATTATGCCCCAAAAATTTAATATCGGATGACATACAGTAAT